TGTGAAAAATAATGAACCAACCTGAGGGGTGAAATGACTGAAATGATTTCTCTCCCTGTTTCTCTTTGCAGAACTGAAGACTATATGAAGTTGTCCCTAGCCTCCTCCTAAAGGCATCCCTTGGCATCTTTAAAGGCTTGAGAGAAATACCAAAAAACCAACCAAACACACCCATAAGAGAAATCCATAAACCCTCAAAACTTGGGATCCCCTCTTGGTCTGAAGTTGAGCTCTTCAAAAACTCCTGTGGTGTCAAGTTTGAGGAGATCCTGTTGTGTGGCTCCGTGGAGTGGGGCAGGGCCCAAGCAGTGACTTCAGTTGTGTCTGGGGGAGCTGGGATGAAGCATCCTCCCTCTCCCCCAAACAGAACCCAAACTGGACACTAAATATGCAGCAAGTCTATTAGTTGTGTTAATTACCGTGCATTAGGCCTGCTGTGAAATTTGTGCTGTTCCTTTATCGGGGTGGGTGAACCATAGCTCTTCTCCCAGACCAACCTGGACCTTATACCAGACCATCAAGTTGTTTCTTCCTGGGGCCAAATTCTTTGTTGCCAGGGGGTGGGAACTGCCTGCAATTGCAAATGCACAATGCTGCTTTACTCTGAGGGGTGGAGGGACAAAGTGGGGTCCAGGTGAGGGATGGCAGATGGTAGCTGGACTGACTCAGATCCTGCTTCTGTAGTTATTTTAGCAAAGAGCTGATTCTGTAGGTAGACAGAAGACTCAAGAAGTGACAGAGGTTGATAGTTTAGCTGTTCTGCTTGTGGTGGAGGTTTAGGAGACCACGCTTTGGCTGCTGTTAATATCTGGATTCTCACTCTTCCCTACTCCGGTTCCCAAGAGGAGAGACCCAAGGAGGTAGCTATGGCATTAGGGGCTTCCTCTGGCTGAGGATGGCATAGTGGGGGTCCTGGAAGAGACACCCTTCCCATTCCTCTGCCGGCTTGCTGTTCCAGTGCCCTCTTTTGCTAGCCCTGTGGCTTGTCCACTGGAGCCAGAGCTCAGCGTTGCTCCTCAGCTGTCACATAGAGAAGATGAATTCGGCCGGGCGGGTATATCTGCTTCAGACACAGCAGGTTTCAAATCAAACCCAGCTGGTTTGTGAGAGCGAGAAGAGGGTCCGAGTCCTCTAGCGATGTAGAAACACCAGGCTGGGTGAGGATGTGTCCTTCAAAGTTTCTCTTTCACTGCCGGACAACTGCCTCTTGGCTAACGCTGCAAACATATCGGAAGCCCAACAGGCTGGTTTGTTGGTTGTTTTGTTTTGTTTTTTTTTCCTTTTTTAATTCCTATGCAGACAATACTTGAAACCTTGTACACAGTTGTCCTTTCCAGCGCCTGGGGTTGGCAAATTCTTAATAAAAGGGCTCATTTAAAGAACAGCAGGAGGCTTCAGCTTTAGAAGAGGCTGGACTGCCCCTTCCCAGCTGACAACTGCAAGCGTGTTCAGGGGTTTGCATATGAATTTAGGCACATCTGGACCCTCTGCTTCAACATCCTGCTGGTACAGCCGCTGTCTCCCCTCGGTGCTGGCTGGCTGACTGTGTCCCGAGCACCCAACTATGCAAAGAATGCCTTATATACATTGTGTTTAAGTTACATGGCAATATGTGCATCGAGCAAAGTCTAGAGTTGAGTCCAGATTTTTTTGCTTGTGGCAGCAAGTCAAACTATTTCTTCAACTCAAAATGGCTGTCTGGGTATTTTTTACTTTTGTTTGTTTTGTTTGTTTGTTTTATATCTGATGGTGGCTCTTACACAAAGGACTGTAATTCTAGTGGCTTGAATCTGTAAAAATTGCCTTTGTTTGGTCCAATAAACCTTTGAATAGTTTATTTGGTTTGTGCTTGTTCTCCCGGCTTCCAGCAGCTTGTAACTTCTTTCTCAAGAGAGCTGTGTTGAAAATTTTTTTAGGTGAGAGGTACATTTTGCCCTCCTATGCCTTTTACCCCATAAATGATTCCACTGTCCTCCTTAACAATAGAGTCAGACCAGTGCCGAAAATCAGAGGTTTTCCCTTATTTCTGCTGGAGCAACGAGGTGTTGCAGCAGGATCCTGGTCTTGTTTGGCTGCAGAGCAATCAGCAGCCTTCCTAATTAGCAGAGCTCTGCCCAGGATTTCAGCTGGGGTAAACATGGGTGCTGAGCTGTTCCTGAAACAGAGATCTCCTTTAATGTCCTACGGCTCACTGCCCCAAACCTCCCATTAATCGTAAAATTCTTGGACTGAAATGTCTAAAAAGAGCCTAAGGGAGTTAAGTATGCAAATTCAATTGCCTATCAAGAAGAATTAGGCTGCTTTGGAAATCCTTAATTAATCTATTTTGTCAGCAATAAGTAAAATCCTGTTTGACCTCCTGAATCCAAGTAGTTTTGAGGACAGCACTTAAGGGAAGAGAGAATGATTTTACTTGTGAATGGGGTAGGTTTGATCTGAAATCATCAAAAAAAACCCAACAAAAACCAAACCAACCTGGAGCATTACAAAGTAGTTTTGCAAAGTCGCCTTTGATAGAAGAAGATCCTTTTTGAAATCAGTTTCATGTTTTTGATGCCTTACTCTTCCTTCCCAGGCTCTTTTCTCTCTTTATCTTTGTTTGCTCTCCCTTTATCTTTGTTTGCTCTCCCTTTGTTGTAGATTATGTAGCGCAGAGAAGTAACAGCAGCAACAGCTCTTTTATTTCTGTTTTTTTTCAAATGCACAGTCGTGATATTTTAGGTTGAGGGGAGAGCCAAAATACATTGATGCTGTGCTTAAAAAAAAAATAGTAGAGTGAGTATTGTCTGTGATCTTGATTTGGAGACAAGGAAGTGGTGCTTTGGGGATGTTTCAGCAGTGCTAATGTCTGTGAAATAACGAGCAAGGGATGCAGACCTGTGTGGAGCACTCCCAGCTGGCGTGCATTTCAGACAGGAGAGGCAGAGCTGTGTATTGAATTTCTCCACACCAGACTGGAAATGTGCCCTCTGGTGCCCAGCGGTGATCTGAAATAAAATATTGATCACTAACGACTGTGCTTCCCTTCCTCTCGTCTGGAAAGGGCGGTTGGAGGCTATTCATGGGAGCACAAAAAATTACAGAAGAGCCAGGCGAATCCAGGCGCTTGACAGCCTGTGGCCAGAGCTTTCGTAACCAAAAGATCCCACGTCATTATCGGGAAATGTTTGGCCTTAGGACAACTGCATTTTAATTGCTATAGAAAAGAATTAGCAAGTGAGCTGCTTTTTTTTTTTTTTTTTTTTTTTTCGCTAGGATCTGCTTTTTTCCTGCCCTGCCTGCTGCAGTGGTGCTGGGAACAGCCTGGTGTTCCTGCTGCTGCTGGGGTTTAGCCCAGGAGAGGGGAAAATGCAGAGCTCAGCACATGAAGGCTCCTCTGCTCGTTCCTCACTGCCTCCTTCCATCCATCTTGTTCGTGGTGTGGTTGTTTCTGATGTGTTGGTGCTGTCCTCTCTTCTTTTGAGCAAATATTGTGCCCTGGTTTTGCCTGTCAATAGGTATTTCTACCCCTCCTGTTACCAAAACAGCTAATAGCTTGTCCACGCAGGACTTGCAGGAAGACTACCCCAGGTTAACTAACAGCGTGCATTTAAATGGATTAATTACAGTGCATCAAAGTCCTACGCAGAAAGCTGGCTGCGATGGGGACAGAGGACTCCTGACAGGGTGACCATGTGGAAGTAAAAGCCAGAGTCTGTCTTTCTAGCCCAGGGGAGGATAGAAGACACTAAATAAGAAGGAGGAGCTGGGATTGTGGCAGATCTATGCTCTGAGCTGCTGGGCTGTCACTGAATTCTGGCCCCACAGCCACGGAGGGGCAAAATGAGCCTTGAAGCAATAGAAACTGCTTCTCCTTTGGGACAGCCATAAAGCTCCACAGCCTCATTAGTTCTCTTAATCTCACACAGGGGAGTCAGGTGTGAGGTGTGCGAGGCAATAGTGGGATCTGATCCCAATCAAGTTGGGGTCTGGCAATGAGAACAAACCAGCCCTAAATGGAGCCAAGGTGCACATTTTGGTTTGCCCTAAAAGAGGATTTTGCAGACATCAAAATCAGTTGCATCAGTTCATGAGTTACTTGCAAACAAATGACACTCCTGTGTTGCCTACCCTTCTGTATCCCCCCAGTGATGATCAGTAGATGCATGACCAATATAAGTCCTCCTATAAAGCTTCCTCCCATAAAGTCCTGTGACAGATAGATCCAAATCTTTGTGCTGTGGGACATACAACAATGGGTTACTGCTTTGGGTTAGGGAAAAATCAGGATATCACCTGTTACGGGGAGAAGGGAGTTAATCATCTACTATGGGACCTTCTCGGGATGGAAATCTGAGCTAGATGGTCTACTGGACAGCCTCTGCCCACCCAGGGACCACCTCAGGGTTGGACTGGCTACATGAGTCCATCTCACCATTTGACACTGGCAGACGAACTCAAATCAAAGCAAATTTCTACCTGTGATCTTATCTTCAAGTGGCTGATTAAAGTCATGTCCACACTGGAAGGCAGACTGGTGTCTAGTTTTAAGGCAGGGCATGCATTTACATTTTAACAGCTATTTCTGAACTACTCTGTATCTACATACTTCTCCTTACAGAATGAAAAGACACTGTCCTGGTGAAGCTGCATCCAGTTTCACTATGGAGTCTGCTAAATTGGGACACGTTGGTCTTAAGAAATTCCACATGTCAAGCTATCTTGAAACTTTGAGCGCAGATAAGGCCTAAGGAACTCCAAAGCTAGTGTTAAAGCAGCCCCTTTTATCTCCACATTTAAAGAACTGTAGAGCGACGTGCAGGATGATTGGATAGACGGAAGGTGGAGGAAGGAGAACCAGAGGCAATCTCTTTCTTATCACACACGGGCAGATTTCCTGCAGCCAGGAGGGCTTGTGAAGTGACCTGTGTTTGGCTTCGTGTTTCATTTGACCACGGTGTTCTTGCTCAGACTGCCTTCTGGGGACTGGCTATTCCTACTTCTCCTTTTCTTCTTGACAGGGTGCAGAGAGAGCAGCTGGCTGCCATCTTCAGGCTCATGAAGGAAAAAAGTGACACATTTGGAGAGATGTCTGAAGGAGACATGAAGGAGCAGCTTAGACTGTACGATATATAACCTTGCAGCCAGTGGAGACAATGCCCAAAAGTCATCTTGGCCCTAATTATGCAGGACACTGGAGGCTGTAGCGCTATACACGTGTTTTGGTAGTTATTTTGCAGTTCCAGTTTGTTTTGCAAATGCATATATGTATTTAAAATACTTGAAATTTCTCACCTTTTTAGGCTTTTTTTTTTTCCTTGAAGAGCTATCATGATATTTTCATCTCGTACAGAGATTTTTACCTCTTTCTGGCTGGGTCATATGTCTCAGTCATACAAAGCAGTTACGCTCACAACTTTTTTCTGGTCATGCTTTATAAAAATGAACTTTCAAACCTAGTCTTTATCAGTTTGATATCTGAAGAAAGCCAAAGATGACAGATGTAAAATGGATGAAAATAATAGAATCGTAGAACAACCCGGGTTGGAAGGGACCTAAGCAGGTCTGTAGTCCAACCTCCTGCTCAAAGCAGCATGAGCTGCAAGATCAAGCCAGGTTACTCAGGGCTTTATCCTGTTGGGTCTTGAAAACCTCCGAAGATGGAGACTGCACAACCTCTCTTGGCAGAGGGGCTTCCAAACCTACAGTCAGAAAACAAACAGCCGAAGGCATTAGCGCTCGGATTAGAGGTGAGTTGCTGTTCTCATCTCCTTGGAAGGAACGCTTCATCCTCCTTCATGCCGGCTTTTTGAAACAAATCCAAGTCGGTTCCGGCTGACCTCGCTGAGCTCACCTTCACGCCTGAGAAAACAGCAGCTAAACTCAACCTGGAAACACAGACACCTCCTCGCCTCCTGACACAGTAAAAGTAGTACAGAAAGGTGGCTGGATTTTTCACAAGGATGACTGTGTCCAACTCAGATCCTGTTCTCCTAATGTAAAAATGATGTGGGAAACTAGATGCTTAGGAGATCGCTGTGAATTTATCAAGTATTTTGAACAGTCTTGACCAACCCTGGGTGGTTTGGATAGAGTAAATCAATGAGCATTCCTAATTTTAACTGAAAGCTTTCTAGTGTACTTATCTCTCCTATGAAATCCTGTTATATACTTTATTATCAGGAAGGATTTTCTCAGTTTTAATAACTGCTGACAAAGGGAGGCAACGTTTCCTGACCCACTTCTAGGGAATGATCTCTTAAACGATTAGGTTTCCTTTATTTTGTGTAATCCTTTTGAGTCTGGAAAACCAAATATCTCATTATCTGGTCACTGTTTCCCAATACAGTATATTATGTAATACCACACTATTTGACTTTTAAGAATCATTTTATCTTCTAGTTGTTTTAATTTAGGTGAAGGCATATTTATTATGAGATCAAGCTGGTTTTACTACCAGTCTCGACTTAATCTAAATTTAATGTCTGAAAATTACCTCTTCTTATTCAACATGAAAGAATTAAGCAGAAAGAGGAGTCTCATGTGAAACATCGTGCCAGCTTGCTGTGTCCCTAGGCCACAATTTCCTTTGTCAAGCTGTGCAAAAGGAGAAATGTAAAAAATTTGTACAAGGGACTCCTCCCTGGTTCAAAACTGAAAGCAGGATCTTTTCCAAAGCTCTTCTTGTAAGCAAGCAAAGGAGAGTTAAGGTTTAGTTGATTTTTAGTCTTTGTCTCATAGACTTAAAAGTTTATTTCCAAAATATTTTTGTATTTCTTCTTTTACATTTGGGCCTTCTCTGAATAGGAACATATCTGGGGACCAAAAAAACCAATAATCCTCAAACTCCCCAGCTGCAGGTTATTCCAGCAATGGTAACGCTGAATGAGGCACAGCAGCTGGCATTAAATGTGTCCTGCCCCTAACAGTGTCACCAAAATGTTAAGATGCTGTTGATGAAGGGGCAGAGGTGAAAGATGTGTCATTTGCTAGGCCCAAATTTAAGAAAGAAATGAAGCTAATTAAAAAGCCTCTGCCCAGGACATGAAACAAAGGGATATCGACATGTAAAACCCCATGGGGTTTAAAAGGTGTGTTTTCACCGTGTGTGGTTGCAAGGCTGTAATAAAAAGGAGGCTGCTGGACACGTCTGTGTGACTCTGTGGCTGGCAGCGGGGAGGTGGTGTTTGGGGCCACCCTCATGGCCACAGGCTGTTGCTGGGACCTGCAGGCATGGGGTACCTCCCGACTTGGCCAGCCGGCTTCTCATTTCCTTTTCCCTCTGGGGCTCATCAATATTTACACCGGAAATTTCACCGGTTGCTACAGCTGGATCTCCCCTTCTGGGTACTGTCCTTTGAACAATGCTGGCTGCTTCTCCTCGGCCTGGGGCAGGGACCCGCTGTGGCCATATGAAGGCAGGCCAGCCAGGCCTCGGGGCACACAGCCGGGGCCATCGGGGGAACCTTCCTCCCCTCTGGCAAGCTCTGGGGCCACCAACACAGGCAGGGAGATCCCAAATGGGCGCTGAGGGGTCTTTCAGGGCCCTTAACAACATGGATGCCTAGTCTCCCCTGGGCCCCAGCCTTGGCAATGGCCGCTACAGTTCTGAGGAGAAGGATCTGGGGGTCCTGGTGGACAGTAAACTCTCCATGAGCCAGCAATGTGCCCTTGTGGCCAAGAGGGCAATGGAATCCTGGGCTATGTAGGCAAGAGTCTGGTCAGCAGGTCAAGGGAGGTCATTCTCCCCCTCTGCTCTGCACTGGGGAGGCCACAACTGGAATCCTGCCTCCAGGTCTGGGCTCCCCAGTTCCAGAGGGACAGGGAACTGCTGGAGAGAGTCCAGCGTAGGGCAACAGAGATGATGGAGGGATTGGAGCATCTCCCTGATGAGGAAAGGCTGAGAGAGCTGGGACTCTTTAGCCTGGAGAAGGGAAGGCTGAGGGGAGACCTTATGAATGCTGACAAGGATCTAAAGGGTGGGTTGAGGGAGGATGGAGCTGGACTCTTTTCAGTGGTTCCCACTGACAGGATGAGGGGCAACGGGCACAAGCTGGACCATGGGAAGTTCCACTCCAATCTGAGTTAGAACTTCTTTGGGGTGAGGGTGGCAGAGCCCTGGCACAGGCTGCCCAGGGAGGGTGTGGAGTCCCCTTCTCTGGAGATCTTCAAGCCCCACCTGGATGCTCCTGAGTGATGTGCTCTGGGCAACCCTGCTTTGGCAGGGGAGTTGGACTGGATGATCTCTAGAAGGTCCCTCCCAACTCCAACAATTCCGTGATTCCGTGATCCTCCCCACGGCTGTGGGGAAGGCGACTGGAGGACGAGGGGGCGGTGGTCGCCATGGCCGCCAAGGCCGGAGCCCGTGCAGGGACCGGCGAGTGGCCCCGCTCTGTGGCCCCTAGAGGCGGGCTGCCCCAGCCCGCTCGCGGTTGGACACGCATGTCCTCGCTGGGCGCCCGTGAGGCAACGCCGAACGGAGCTGGCTTGTCCCTGGCCGGCCCCCGTACCGGCGGCGCCGGGAGGGGGGTGCTCCGTGGACCTATTCCCGTGCCGTGCGCATGCGCGCTGCCTGGGCGTCAGGCGCTACGCATGACGTCACGCCGTAGCCTGGCTGGGGCGCACGCGTGGGGCGGGGCCGCGAGCCTGACATTAAAGATGGCGGCGGTGGCGGGCGGGCCTGAGGCTCCTGCGGGCGGGCCTGAGGGCTCTGCCGGCGGGGTACAGGCGGGCTGGGCCCAGCCGAGAGGCTGAGGCCTCCCTCAGCGGCGGGGGTGGCTCTCCGTCAGTGTCTGGCCAGCGGGTGTGCGGCCGGCCGCTCGGAGGGGGTGGTTAGGGTGCCTGTGAGGTGGGCTGCTGTGTGGGGGAGGCCGGGGGTGAGGCCTTACCTAGGATCCCTTCACCAGCCAACAGGGCTCCGGCTTTCTGAGGCATCCAAGCTAACCCGCCTGTGCACTGATAGCTTTCACCGGGTGTTTGGCCTGACCCAAAGTCCATTGAGGGCTACAAAGATCAAGTGAATGGAGACCTCTGTTGTGAGGAAGAGCTGAGAGACCTGGGTCTATCTAGCCTGGAGAAGATTGAGAGAGGATCTTACCAGTGTTCCTCAGTATCTAAAGGGCAGGTGTCAAGAGGATGGGGCCAGACTTTTCAGTGGTGTCCAGTGACAGGACAAGGGATAATGGACACAAGCTGGACCACGGGAAGTTCCATCTCAAATTGAGGAAAAACTTTATGGGTGCCAGAGCACTGGAACAAGCTGCCCGGAGGGGTTGTGGAGTCTCCTTCTCAGGAGATACTCAAAACCTGCCTGGATGTGTTCCTTTGCAGCCTGCTCTGGGTGACCCTGGTTTGGCAGAGGGTTGGACTTGATCTCTGAAGGTCCCTTCTGCCCCTGACCAGGCTGTGATTCCATGAAGTCGCCAGGATGTTAATTGCAGCAAGTTTGGAGTGGGAATGCAGTGAGATAAGCCAAGGTGACCGTGATTTAAGCTGTTTTTTTAGTCCATGTTCAGTGATGGTCATGGGATCTGCCTGTACCTCCACTGGCATGCTTGGCAAGAATGGCTCATTGTAGATTTTTGCCAAGGTATTTTGTAGCCACATTTATTATGATGCTGTTATTTGCGTGTTATTTCTGACATCCCACTAAACATACTTCAGTGTAATCCAGTGTTATGACTCTTGATCCTGCAGATGATTAATAGATAACGTTGTCTTGATCTAATCTTGGGTACATCAGAGAATGAACATGATTTATGCCACATCCTCAGTGTTACTGACATGTTTCACTTCTCGTTCAAGCTCAGGCAGTCTTTGAGCACCAGATCCAGGCTTAAAAAAAGTCTGGAATGATTTAGTTAAGGAGCTTTAGTAGGTGGGGGTGGTGAAGGCAGGGAAAAGAGAAAGCAGAATCCCCCTCCTCTGACTCTAGATAGCTTTGAGGGGGTTTTCAGGTTTGGAGACTCTACAGAGCTTTTAAATGAGCTTCTTTGCATAGATTGCCTCTGGAATTGCTAAAGCTGATGCTTCATGATGCAATAGCATCTGCTTTGTGCTCTAGAGCTGGTATAAGTTATGGAAATGAGGCTCAGCCCCGTTCATTAGCAGTGTAGACAAAGTGGATGGCGGTGCCAGCAGCATGAGGAATTGTGCCAATGAAATTGTCGAGTGTATCTGACAGAGAAGAGGTGGGTTTCCAGTGTCTTTTGAAGGAAATGGGAATGGCTATAGGTGGGAAAGAGGGTGGCACCATGAACTCTTTGCTTTTTGCACCTACAAGGTCATTTTCCATCGTATGTTGCCTTCTGTGCGGTTAAGGGGAGTTAAGGGATTTTTGCCAGCTATTTCAAATATTTTGAATAAATTCCTCTGGGGCATTTCTCAGAATGAATCAAAGTCAAAGGTCCTCCTTAAGATCCACCAGAGGAGAACGAGTAGGAGTTTCCAGACCAGCTTTGGAGTTATCATAACACTGCCCTCCACCCCAATCCCTCATGTCTCTTAATCACTGCATCTGGGCTACATGCATTTGACTGGGAATTAAATCCACAGTATCTGCATTTATAATAGACTGGGTTTATTCCCATAAGAATAGTAGGAACAAAGGTCAAAAGTTACGTTATAGGTAACAGTTCATTTTAAAGAATATAATTTCCTCTGAAGAGTGAAATATCCAGTTCTGAAATTTGCAATAACTGGTGACTATAATATTTATATAGTAACTGAGCAATGAATGTGTGGCATAAGTATCTCCTGTTTTAAGAAGGCAGCTTCATCTTCGTTATCACCCACACTTTTGTTGGTGAATCACATTTTGGTAGAAGGACTATATAAAAAAGGATCAAAGAGACAAATCTCTGTAAGCCCCTTTATATTTTAGCCTTTTCCACCTGTGTTTCTCAGGAGGAGAAAAATAACCTCAGAGGTGGTGGAAAATGTACAACGCTACCTTCTGTTTGTGGCAAGTGCCTGGTGTTTTAGTTTAGTCTCCTTTCTCCAACACAACTAAAGCTTTTCTCACAAGGGGGAGTTTTTATAGGGTTTTTGACATGTTCCAGGAATGTGATCTTTCTTGTGTGTCCTCTCTAAATGTCTAGTGAAGCAGCAGAGATTCTGATCTATGAGTACATGAAGCAGCACTAGATGGTAAGAATTCCTAAAGATAAGATGTTAATATAATGAAATATAATTCTTTTTTTTTTTTTTTTTGTAGGAGGTGTGCCTGCACATGGCAGAGGGGTTGGAATGAGATGATCTTTAAGGTCCCTTCCAACACAAACCATTCTATGATTCCGTGATAAGCTGAGGAGATAAGGATGGAGTGCTGATACAATGGATACGGACCTGGCTTTCTGCTAGGACAGGAAGGGAGTAAAACATGGAAGTCCTTGTGATTATTTTTTTTAAACTTTAAATATATCTACTGTGCTTCAAACACATCTGATTGCTGGATCTCAGCCGACAGCCCGGGAATAGCAGCAGGACACTCCTTTTTTCTAAAAGGGAAAATCTCTTGTCTGAAACAGTTTCTTAATTCCCAAAGTAGGTCAGGAATGCAGCCATTGAGATACTTATGTGTAGGGAGTGAGTCATGCTGTGATGAGCTGTTGGGAATGCTGTGTACTGCTCCCTTTTGTTAACTGCTGAGTTGTATTGGGAACAATAAACTAGCAAAGAGGAGTTATTAAGTAGTTTGTTTCATCTTCATTTGTTTCAAAGAAAGGGGATAATTGATCTTGTAGGGGATAATTGATCTTGTTTTCCATCAAGAGAGTGGTGATGTACCTACTGTGAGGTTTGTGACTGTTTTCACATGTTAAACCGAATTGTTAGGGATAGGGCTATAGGAAGAGATGAAACAGCCAACAGACATCATCCTGGGGAATCCTAAGCAGCCTCAGCACAGCTCCAAAATTGGCAGTGTGAACTGGGCCAAACGTGGCAGGGGAGGTTGTGTGTCTTCTCCCTGTGGGTTCTCTGCAGCTTGTGTGGGTGTGAGCTTGTTTCCAGTGGTAAAATCCCAGGGATGAGTCCTTAACTGTGTTGGGTTCAATTTTTTTCCACCTCTGCAGTGGTTAAGAGGTTGCAGCCCTGGTGCACGGAAGGGTAACCCCTCAGCAAGAGGGGCTGCCGCTGACAAAGC